CATTACACAAGACACATTCATTTTAAAGGATTTATTTAAGTCTATTTAGCAGGGATATTGTCAGGAATGTTTTGTTTATATTGAAGTTGTTGAATTTTTAGGCTATTTTCTTTGGCTGAGTAAACACTAGAAGAAATTTTAGAGGACAGGTGGACAAAATAATGTCAGGATCTGGTTTTCCAGAGCATGGCCAAATTCAACTGAAGGCTGAACAAACCAAGTGATCTCAGCTGCTCATCACAGACTTTGCCCTCTAGACTCTTCTCTGTAGCTTCTTCAAGTTCTCCCTTTGACTGACTCTCTCTTAGTTTTATGTCCTGCTTACATCATGGCACCCAAAACTGCACACAGTTCTCACAGTGAGGTTTTGTCAGATACATGTTGGCAGCTAATGGGATAACTTTATTCTTACTTTTAGGATCAATACCACTGATATTTTTCAAACGCCATAGAAAAACTAACTCTAAAAGCAATCATTGCATTCTGAAATTATTGGCATTATTTGCAGTTCTTTGCATTGTTTTCATGACTGCTCTTTTCTGTCTGTTTTTCTATCATCTTATGGCTTTCACGGTATATTTTTTCTCTGATGCTATCGGCACAATAGAAGTTGTACTTTTCTCTGGTGTCAATACTAGTAGCTTCTGTATCATCCTCCATCACTGCTATTGGAGTACACTTAGGTGGTAAGTCTTGAAGTGAAGATTTCTAAGACATTCATTTGCTCACAAGCTTTTCAGAAGTAGATAAGAACAAAAGACAGAAATATTCTGCTATTGCAGAGAGGTTCATGGAAAAGGAAAGCAGTACAGATCCATTTTGAACTAACAGAAAATTCTGTTCTTACTTACAAACCAATGAGATTAAATTAACGTAGACCAAAGGAATTTACTCAAAATGTTCAAGGAAGCTAACATAATTTCACAGTGGATTTTACAAGCCCAGACAGTCAGCATACTTTGGGCAAGCTTGGACTGTCAGCTTCACTATGTAAACTTGTTTTAACATGGATTGTGTCTTAACCAGAAGTAAATCCTTTGGAATAAAAGGTATCTGTCCTGATTCAAGGAGCACAGATTTCTGAGCACTTGGTAGTTGTTTAATGGGTCATGGACAGTGTTTTTCCTGGATTCTAGCTTTTCAGTACTTTTTCATTAGAATGCTGTGTCCCATGATTGCTACTAAGCTTGATTTTTCAGTATTGTATCGTGAAGCTAGGCAATAACCTAGCTAACAGCAACCACTTATACAGTGTAGTAGAAAAAGCAATTAAAAGTAAGAATGTGGAAGATATGCAGTCTTCAGACCATCCCGAAGGAGGGCATTTCTTGACATTTCTCAGATTAGTGAACAGTGACGGATAGATTGATTAAGCTACAGTAGTTTATAATGGTCTTGTCTGACAGATGCCTACTGTGCTTGGATCCCCAGTAGACAAGGATGCACAGACCTTAGCTCACATTACCTATACTGTCCCTGAGATGGGTTTAATAATCTCTCTTATGTCCTGCTTTGCCTCCGTGTGTGCAACCACTTTCCAAAGAAGCAGTCTTCTGAAAGCAGTAATTCCTTACTGTCACTGAAGGACCAGGGATTTAGAACTTGATGTCTTTTTTTCCATCACTCTCACTTCTTGCCTTGACAAATATTTCAAATTAGGGTAATAGAATCATAGAATGGCTTAGGTTGGAAGGGTCCTTAAAGATGATCTAGTTCCTCACCCCTGCCATGGACAGGATTGCCATCCATCAGATCAGGCTGCACAGGGCCCCATCCAACCTGGCCTTGAACACCTCCTGGCATGGGGCATCCACAGCTACTCTGGGCAACCTGTGCCAGTGTTTCACCACTCAGAGTAAAACATTTCTTCCTCATATCTAATCTAAATCTCCCTTCTTGTACTTAAAACCATCCTTCCTTGTCCCATCACTAACTGATGTAAAGTTGGTCTCCCTCCTGTTTATAACCTCCCTTTAACTACTGGAAGGCTGCAGTAAATCCTTCCCACAACCTTCTCTTCTTGAGGATGAACAAGCCTAAATCCCTCAGCCTTTCTTCATAGGAGAAGGGCTTTAGCACTCTGAGCATCTTTGTGACCCTCCTCTGAACCCACTCCAACAACTCCACTTCCTTTTTTTGCTGGGGGCCCAAGCCTGGGCACAACACTCCAGATGAGGCTTCACAAGGACAGAGTAGAGGGCAAGAATCTCTTCCCTGCTGCCACCCCCTTGTTGATGCACCCAGGATACTGTTGGTCTTCTGGGCTGCAAGCACACACTGCTGGCTCATGTCCAGCTTTTTGTCCATCAGAACCCCCAAATCCTTCTCTGCAGAGCTGCTCTCAAGGAATTCTTCTCCCAGACTGCATACATACCTGGAATTGTTCCAACCCAAGTCCTACACTTTGCACTTGACCTTGTTGAATATGATTAGGTTCTTGTGGGCCAACATTTCAAGCTTGTCCAAGTCCCTTTGGACGGCATCCCTTCCTTCTATTTCTACCATAATAACCAAGTTAAGCAGGTAACACATAATGTAAACTATTTTGAATAAAAATTATTTCCCATTTTGTGTTTTAGCACTATGTAACTCTTTGCAAAATATATTCTCTTGAACTCCTGCGCTCTATAACCTAAAGTATTGAATTTCTAAGAAATTTTCTTTATTCAGCACTATATGAATATTAGACAAACACTAATGCATTTAAGGAAGATTAAACTGATGAGGATTTTCAACATCTTTAAATCACACATTTTGGAGCTCACATGGAGTTGCATTTTCCTATTATTTTTTACTTTCAGTTTTAAGCAACAATTATTCCAAGAAAGGTTCCAAATAGACCTATTCAAATTTAGACTAATTCAACAATGCTGTGTTACAGCACTGATAGAAACTATGAAATTACCTGACATCTTTCCTTCTGCTCGTCAGTACAGCACTTAAATGCCAGAGCAATTTTTGCTTAAAAAATCAGCAATAGGTTATGGAGCAGGACATTTTTGTGACACTGTGTATCAATCCACATCAGATTTCAGATTTTCTATTATTCCCAGCAGTATTTGATTATGCTCTTTTTTTTTTTCTTTTTTTTTTTTTTTTCCTATTTTCCATTGCAAGAATAAAATTTAGATACATAATTAGGTTAAGTGTTTTGATACCTTCCAGGAACAACCAGTACAGACAGTCATCACCAGCTTTTTGTGGGTCAAGCTGAGAAGTCCCCATTGTGTCTACCACAGAATGCTATTTAATATCTTGATGATTTGCACAAGAAAGTTGAGAAATTCATCTCAGCTCAAGTTAAGATCCAGGAAATGCAAGTTTACCTTGGGACTTACAGATAGAACAGTGTGGGAGGTACAGTGGTTGGTGAATCTTCACTGTTCTTCTGGGAAATGGCTGTTGAGGCCATTGGCTTAGTAACTACTAACTACTCGATGTCCAAAAAGGCAGACAGTACCTAACCAGGGCTAGGAATTATATTCCTATATTCCTACTCCATTAGAGATCAGCTGTGGAGTAAGTTGCAAATTGTTCTTGCTTCTCCATAGCCATACATTAGTGAGAGCATCCTGACTTATGCCTTTGTGCAACTCATCTGCTGCAGATCTAGACATATACTCAATTTACCTAACGTTTCATAAAGTTCGAGGATAGAGTACCTTGATGGCTTTCTTTCTTTGTCTTCATAATCCTTGCTTCTTGTGCAAAGCATATAAATTACTCCCTTGTGATGGAACAAGAACCAGCTATTATCACTGATTGCAAGCTGTAACAGATCTTTCTGCTACACTATTAGGAGCAACTGAAAGAGGATGACAGGTCCATGATCTAGCTAGAAGCTGTAAAATGCATCGCTTACAGAGACCTAAGAAATATGAGCTGTTACTGACAATTGTCATTATATTTCTTACAACTCTCAATGAAATCCTGCTCACAAAAGCACAGTTTAAGAACCAATTTTAGCTTACATCTGAGCCTTGCAAATTTCAAATTTACATTATTTCTCCAAGTGTTTTTGACAGAACTGAAAACTTTGATATATAGTGACTTTATGCCAACTCAGCTTATGTTCAAAGAGTAAAGAAGTTTTTGGGAAAAAATTTTTATAACTGTTCTGCAGTCTATCCATTGACATCTCTTCCCACAAGAGAGATCATAATCCTGGTGTTTATCCTGGAGGACAGAATGACTCTCATTAGTAGACTGAATAGTTTTACCATCAGCATTTTTTTTACTAATATTCATAACGAAGCATGGTTGTTGGACTACATGGATAACATTTAATATTGCTTCCAACTCAAACAATTCTATGATTCTATGCCACAATGACATCAAGCTCCAAACTTCACAGAAGGGCTTAAGACAATATAAGGAAAAAGAAATTTAAATGTAGTCTTCCTTTTAGTCCTTCTTATCCATTATCACTCAGAAGGTGGTGACACATTGGAAAGGTTGCACAGAGAATTTGTGGATGCCCCATCCCTGGAGGCATTCAAGGCCAGGCTGGATGTAGCTCTGGACAACCTGTCTGGTGGTTGGCAACCCTGCATGTAGTGGGGAGTTGAAACTAGATGATCTTTGAGATCCTTTTCAACTCAGGACATTCTATAATTATCCTGTAGCAAAGGATGTGCCATTGCTTACACTATCTGCTTCGTAGGAATGTTTGTTCCAGAATGGGATGTGGGTGAAAAGCAAAGCCAGACTGATACGTTGGAGCATTTGGATTGAACATTTTAGTACATGGGACCATGTTCTGTTTGTACATTTCTGGGAACTACTCATTTTGATATGGTTTGGGAAGAGCATGCACAAAAAATGAGATACTATTTGTAAACATATGCCTAGATAGTTAGCTGATTAGGAGGTAGGTCTGAGTCCAAATGCTTAATTAGAAGTGAAAAGCTGTTGAAAAAAAGATTTTAATGGAAACCTCTAGGACAAATGTAGAGCAAGAATTTTAATCTCGGTATTTTTCTGGCACTTCTGTTATACAGGGAAGTTTTTATGTCCCATCTGGAAATTGCATGCAACATGCATATAAATGGCATAAGGACCTATGTCTTCTGCTCTTGAATGCTCAAAGAGGACTTCACGTATACTACACCCTCATAATGAAGGAGGTTCCTGATTTACCACAGCTGAAGTTGGGTAAGAGAATAGATATTTTAGATCACTGAACATAATCCACTGCTGTGTTTTCAATACAAGTTTCAGTAGAAAAATTTTCGATACGTTTGTGGATTTTAGAGAATTTTCCCATCTATTTTCTGATTAGTGTTTATTTTGGCACAGTACTGCCAGACTACCACTTTGTCTGTATGTGAATATCCTTTCATCCCCATCTGAATGGGGGTGGCCTGATGAGTAGAGAGGTAAAAATTTTCTGATATTTTTCTCAAAATACGTGCTTCTGAATGATATTTTAACTCACTTGCTCTAACTTCCAGTTCTGAATCATCATGTGGTCTGGGGAAGACTAGAAATTTTGCTCAAGCATATTTTAAACTGAAAACACAAATTGGGAATAGTTGATATGAACGTTTTGAAACACATCCCCTCTCTCATACTTTGCAATACACTGATTTTCTGCTAATAGCATAATTACGTCTTGCCCTTTAAAATGATCCTGCTCTTCTTTCTAATTCATTTAATAGATTTTCTAGATTATAGGCAAAACCATTTTTGGCTGATCAGGCTGTTTGGGTCCAACGTGGAAGCACTGGTTGGATTGGTGGCATAGAGTTCTGTAATTTGCATTTGGTCATGTCTGTAATGATAGTATGAGCTCCTATGAAAACAGGGAGCATCTCTGATTAATTCCTGCTATCCCTACTGTTTCTTTGAATTCAAGGAATGTGTCTCATCTGTTTTTGTGACTTTGTATGTCTGTATACGCAGCTGTCAGATTGCTATATTGCAGGGTTTATTATATTAAGAGTATTGAATGCATTAGTTAACAGATTTTAAAAGGAAAGGAATTTTTTTTTTTTTTTTTCACAGTGTAGGTACTACAAGCACTTTCAAATATAACACATTATGCTGTACAGACTTATGGGCCTGATAGCTTCTATTTTCCACTTCGTGTCTTATTTCCTGATATATATTTCAATTCAAAATAACTTGCCTGCAACTCGTGGAGTGGGGAGAACACATACTGTGTTGTTCCATTCAGCTACAGGAAAAAAATAAAGTTACAGCATTTTTATTTGCAACTTATGAGCTGTCAAACAAAAAAAATCCAAGATGCAGCAAAACCTGTACTTCAGGCATCTTGGTTATCAGGCACATTTTTAGATGATTTATGTTTTACCTGAAAAGAAGAGGAACTGGCAGAGTTATGTTTTGTTGACCACAACTGAAGAACAGACAGATATGCAGATATGCACATATTGGCTTTTTGAATACAACTGACTTGGTTTTCAAATGACTTCTGGTGCTGAAGCAAGCACTTAATTTGCAAGTGTACTTGTTGTAATACATGCAGATTTGCTAAACGCAAATATCCTTTCTAGCTGCTTGAGCAGAGCACTTATTTGCATCATTTTATTCACAGCCTGAACATCTACTGAAGATTTGATTTTAAAGACAGACTTCTGAGGCCAGTAGCAAAGCCTAGAAAAATCATAGAGTATAAGATTTACCCAGAATGATGAATGTCAAGCTTGTTTTTGTGAGACAGTTGCCCAGACTGTTCTTACAGTCACTAGGGAGAAACAGACTCATTTAAGACTGTAAAATATATTATAGACTAATAGTGCTTTCTACCTTAGGATGACATGAACTGCACCTTCTACTTGCTCATTTTTCTCCACTGACCACTAGAATGTAAATGACTCATTCAGTTTTAGACATCTATATTTGGTGAGATTAATCTCATCATAGGTTTCTAAAGATAGTTAAGATAAATACAAGACTATAAATCTGCTCTGTGGACTTTCTTAATTCTTTTTTTTCTTTTTCCTATCCCTCTGAATAGAATATTAAAATTTAATAGTCTAGTTAAGACATTAAAAGTGGAAATTATTGTTTCTCACATTTTGCCAGCTAAAGAAAGATCTCAATCTGTAGTACTATTTGAGAAAAATCACTTGGGATTGGGAAGGAAATTAGTTTTAATTTTTTTATTATTATTTTTTTATTTTTTTATGTATGCTATTAGAAAGTTCAACGTCACAAAATCTAGCTGCAAGAGTTGGAGAGTTGATATAAATCCTCCCCTTCTTCATAGTTTGTTATGCATTTAATGTGGAGTATCCCTATGTTGGATTCTCTCAGGACTACATCAAAGCAATGCTGCATGTGCTAGGCAAAGTTCTTCACACTGCACAGGGCAATACAGAGATACCTATTACCATTCAGATGTGCAGGACTTATGTTACATGGCCTTGTGTAACATGATATGGAGAACTATTTATTGTACATCATTTGATCAGATGTTCCACTGGTGAGACAACAACTAAATTGCATTTAGTTGACCAGTTGGCCATAAATCACAGAATGACTGAATGGTTATGTTGGAAATAACCTCTGGGTCCATCTGTCCAACTTCTGCTCAAGCAGGGACACTCAGAGCAGGGTGCCCAGGACCATGTCCAGGTGGCTTTTGACATTCTCCAAGGAGGAGATTCCACAGCCTCTGGGCAACCTGTGCCAGGGCTGTGCATGTGTACAGAAGTTCTTCCTTGTGACTGGGGGAATATCCTGGATTCTGTTTTGTGCCTGCTGCCACTGGGCATCACTGAAAAGTTTTTGGCTCTTTGCAGTCTCCCTTCAGATGTTTGTATATACTGACAAATTTCAAAAGCTAGTAAGCAAATTTCTATAAAGAGAGAGAGAATAAAAGCCAAATTCTATCCTGTGTCCTGGCAACAACCTTCCAAAATATATACAGGCTTAGTTTGCCAAGTCTCAGAAGCAGAATTTGTACCTGAACCCCTGCAAGTACAAGGTGTATTGTGCATGAACTTGTCCAACTTGAAACTTGTCCACTGACAAAGAATGTCTTATTTATTGTCTTATTTATTGTATGAACAAAAAGTGAAGCATTAATGTTTCATATCCACTGTTTCTAAATCTGACCTGTTTCTTTGTTTTTTGTTGTTGTTGTTGTTTTTTTCTCTAGAGGAACTACCTGTGGAAGATACGTTATCTCAGTTCTGTGCAGAGCTGCAGGTACTGTCTTTAACAGAATCAGTCGGTGCTTTTTTTCAAGCCTATTTTTTAAGTACAGTGAGACAGCACAATCATGTATTGGAGTAGGGAGAAAGGTAATTTGGTGCCAAAAGAAAGTTGCTGGATGTTTCTTTTCCACCAATAATTTCATATAATTTTGATTATTCACTTACATGATGTTTCTGTTACTTTTAACAATTCATCAGCTGGAAGCTTCAGCATCCTTCAGTGAGCTCAGGCAGAATGTCAATAGTACTCACAAAAGTTGATTTGGGGTAGATTGCAATTACAGCTTTTGTGCTGACAGGAGAGAATACCCATTGGCAGATTGTGCAGCCACATTTTTTCAAATAAAAACACCTAAATGTCTAAGGAAGCTTGTGGGAAGAAAAAAGTGATTTTGACACAGCAGTAACTGTATTACTGTCTTGAACTTCTGCAGTTTTGATTTCAAGTGAGACATATGCAGTCATCAAGGGAGCCAGAAAGAAATGCAAACGTCAGTTGATCACTGGACACAATGTTTTATAATCAGAGATTTAATACTTTTGATTTGCTCAGTTTATTAGCAGGAAGATGGCATAGGAAAGAAAGACAAAATAACAATTAATGGAGCTGAAACAAAATCAAATGCATTTGTATTTACACTGCAGTTACAAGCGGTGAGACAGTGTTTTTTAGCCATATGTAAAAAAAAGGACTGAAATAGCAAATTTCTTAATTTCAAATCAGAAATTGGATTATTAGAAATAAATTTGATTTCATCTAAATTTAGAGAAGTGTAAGTTATGGGTCTCTGCTCAACTGGATTGCAGAAATTTAGAAGCCTTTAGGGTATTGGAGGTCAGACAACATAATCTAGAGTCTCCTTGAGACCAGTAGGTTCAAGAAAGTTCATATTAACTTGGCATATATCAGAAAATGTCATGTCTAATTTCTCTGTATTTTCAAATTCCTGTCCAATTCCTGTTCTTGTGTTGACTGGCTTTGCATGGCCATATTTATAAAGCCAGACAGGTTTTTTTTTGAAATTTCTGGGAACAGAGTTATAACAGATAGGAGAACACAATAGCTACAACAGCTATTTATCTAGAGTGATATAAGAACTTTATTATGGTTTTCATGTATACCATTAAAAATGTTGGCATTAGCATCCCAAAATCACGGCCTTTGATGATTAATGACTGAATTTTAAGAGAATAAGACACAAATGATGAAGCATTGTACAATTGTACATTGTACGTTGTCGGGACACAATAGCACTGACCATCTCTGCAATTAAGTGTAGAAGTCATGTGAACCTCCGTACAGTTTTCAGAAGAGTATTGGCCAAGCTTTCTGAGTATTTTGCCTTTAGGAAAATGTGAACTGAAACCATTTCTCTTCAGCAGAAAGTACGAAGGACAGTCATTTATAAAGAAAGAAAATGCTATTAAAACTATAAAGAAGGAAGCCCGTGGGGTTAGTTTCCCATTACCACCGTGTTACCAGGGTCTGGTCCATTTTTTAAATTAAATAAAAACAAAAGAAGAGGAGAAGGTGAATTTTGCCCTGTTTTGTATTTAATCCAAGGACATGGTAGCTATTCAAAACAGGAAAAAATAGAAGGCTCATGTTTCTTTAATTTTGAAAATGATTTTTAAATAGTCAAACATAATAATTTATCCAAAATATTTTCTAAATTTGTTTTGACTAACAGTATTGTTAAAGCCAGACTATACACCACAAAATACACGAACAGAATAGCCAGAGTTGTATTTACTGACCATTTTAACCCATGGGCAATGAGGAATGAAGTCCTTGAGAATTGACCTGCATTGCTAGGATTGCTAGGCTACTGCCCAGCTAGGCAGCTAAACTCTCAGAATGAAAGTACATTGTGCCTCCCTCCCTCCCTTCCTCCCTCCCTTCCTCCTTCTTTCATTCCTTCCTTCTTTCCTCCGTCTTTGATTTATTATTTCAGCACCATCTGGTGGTTAGTTTGGAATCTGCTTCTTCTTCTTTTTTTTTTTTTTTTTTTTTTTTCTTTCCCTCTTTACTACATCTACAGTAAAGCTTCTGTAAAGATTGAGGCTATTCCCACCTCACATAATCAAGGAATGGAGGTGTTTTGAAGGTCTCTCTGGATCCATCTGATCCAACTCCTGCTCATGCACAGACACTCAGAGCAGGGTGGCCAGGACCTTGTCCTGGTATCTTTTGAAGTTCTCCAAGGAGAAGGCTTTATGGACGATTTGTACTAGTGCTCCATCACCCACACAGTACAGAAGTGCTTCCTGATGGTCAGAGGGAACCTCCTGTGTTCCAGTTTGTGTCCAGTACCTCCTGTTCTGGTATTGGGCATCACTGACAAAAGCACCACTCCGTCCTTTCTGCACTCTCCATTCAGATATTAAAGGACACTGATGAGGTCCTGAGAGCCTCCTCTTCTGCAAGCTGAACTGTAGCATCTCTCTTAGCCCTTCCCCAAAGGAGAGATGCTCCAATCCTATGATTATCTTTATATTCTTTCTCTCCAGTTGTATAACTAGGTTGTGGGGTTTTTTTTTGTTTGTTTTTAGAGAGCGAAAGTTTCACTTACAGGATTTTGGGTAAAATAGTGCTTTAGTAATAATTTTAAGTCAGGAGAACGTTGTTGTTGTTTCTAAAAGGACATCATCTAACATGCTAATTGATTTTCTATCCTGCCACTGTCTTGTTCTCAAAAAGCCCTTTCTTCCCTGCAGCTGTTGAGCAATCCAGAGAAGATAGCAGAACATATAAGCAAGGACCTCTCCTGGCTTTGCTCCCACCTTCTGACCCTGTGGACCCAGTTCCTGGAGGTGGCAACACTTCATCCAGAAGTCACAGCTTATCTGACTCAAGAACATCATATGCTAAGGGTAATGTTAGGAAGTTAAAAGCAAGTTCTGTAATGTTAACCTCCTGAATGATATTAATGGTGTATATGGACGGATATTTCTCTTACTCTTATGCCTTTATGAATATTTAAGGGAGATGAATTGAGTAAGACAAAGACAAGAAAAGAGGATTTAAATATAGATTTCAATTTTTGGAATATCGGAAAAATGTTGCTACTATGGTACCCATAATGTTGTACTAAATGAGTGTACTCTGGACACCAGAATCCAGCAGGAAACATGAGGTGGGTGGAAAGAGAGGTAGAGATGCCCCATATTGGTTACTTACTCAGCAATCATAAACATGTTTTAAAAGGCACAAGCACCACAATGACAAATAATCAAAAGATGGGTTTCTTTCAGCTTCTTTCTCAAAGCACAGAATTACACCAAAGGAACACTCTCTTCACTAAGTCACATACAGACAACTAGTTACTGCCTTTCTCCTAGTGAGTTTCACAGCATGAAATATTAATACTCTTCATGTGGAAATTGTTTTTTTTTTTTGGTAATAAAGAAGGCACAAAAATGATTGCCTTTTGAACTGACTTTGTCAGATTTGCCTATCTGATTAGTGAGCAAGTGCTGTGCCTTCCATGAGGACTTTTTTGGTTATTGAATGTACATCACTTTCATCACTTTTCATTTACATCACTTCAGCTGAGCTGAGCTCCTGGGCTGATCTAATCATTAGATTAGGAGCATACAGAAAATGATAGGATTCATCTTGCTTTGCTTCAGATGTCTAGAGTGTAGGTGTTAGCATTCCAGCTTCCATTCCGGTAGTTGTTCAAGTTATCATTGGAGGTCCAGTCAATGGAGTTGAGAGAATGTGAATGCCTGCAAAAGGTAGACATAAAATTCAGGAAGATGTGAACAACGTTGAGACTCCCCTCATTATTTTGCCTCAGTCTCCCTTCATTTTGAGAGGTCCAGGATGGCCTCATCAGCCAAAGAACATAACTTGACCCCCAGCTCCAGCAAGGTGAATTTCAGTATCAATGGATGCCTACTGCTGGCATGACCTGTGACAAATTATGTATCCTCACATACTTCAATTTCTCTCCATGTAAGCTGTGCAATAGTACTTTCCCAGTTATGTAAAGCAGTTTGAGACCTCCAGATAAAAACTGCAGTATTTTAAAGGGTGTTAGTCCTTCTTTTATTAGAAAAGCCATTTGTTGACATATGGCTGGGATTTATTGATGTGCTGAGATCCTATCATGTGGTTTTCACTGCCATTCTCTGACACTATAATAGAGATGGCTCTTACAGATTTTCATAGTAATGTATAGGCTGCAGCTCAACAGTTCATTACTATGGCACATTATGATGGATTGACTGAAACTCAACACTTATTCCATATCAGACAGCAACACTGAATTTTTTATAGCTTATTTTGCACTCGTCCTCTGCCAGATCTTCAAATCTGTGACTACTTTTTTAATTGATTATCCAATCTACTGTCCTTGAGGAGATCTGAAGAGCTCCAATTTGTATGTATAGTGACGCAGGCTGATATGTTTCTGCCATGATAGGGCTTATTCTCTTCTGGGCTGATGTGTAAAACTTCCTTTAATATCCTGGGAATTGTGACTGATCCCATAGAAAAGATTTGTTCTAATTTATTAACTCACTCCACTGCTGCTATGATTTGTACAGTGGGAAAGGAAGAAGTCTTCCTCATTTTAATGTTACAGAGAAAAATGTTAAATTTGACACTTTAAGGAAAGTAGTGAGAAGACACACAAAAGAAAATCTCAGTTTACTATCAAGGGACAGTTCTTCCAGCAACATATGCAACAACACTAACAGCTTTGTACTAGAATGGAAAAGTAAAGCAGAGTTGAGCTCTTTATTTTCTTTCTGACACCAGAGCGGTTCAAAGCAAATGAAATATTAAGGAATCTAGTCCTGACAGTCTTTGCTCTGCTTTTAGCTTAATTGCACCTGGCACCTTTCAGCAGATCTTAGGTTTAACTTCCATGTTTCTTCCCCAGGTAAGGAGATTCTCAGAAGCCTTCTTCTACACTGAACACAATAAACTTGCTGTGCTGACATTCCAGGAAGGCCTGTGAGTAACTGATTGAATCTCTCCTGCCACTGATATAGCTGAAAATATAGTTGCTTAATATATTTTTCTACAAAGAATGAGAGCTTTTCTGCTGTTTATGGGTGGGGTTGTTTTGAGAGAAGTCACCAGGTCTATTCTAGCTCCGTATAGTAAACCCATTGAAAGCAATGTCCAAAGTAAGATGATGCTTCAAAGATGACTATTTCTGAAACTCTTATAACTCATATAAGAGAGTTCTTTTTCTTACTCCCCCTCTCACATTACTTTCAGATTCAGGGAATGACTAAAACACTGTAGCAAGAACATTCTACTGATAGGATGTAGGAGATCCTCTTTCCCTTGTCATTTTCCAGTTGGATGCATGTATCTTAGAGCTTATCTACAACACCACCACCAATATCAGGGCAGACAAAAACATCTTTTATGTCTTTGTTCAATTAAATTCATAAACTTCCTCTACCAGATTTAATAATGGAAATCTTAATAGAAGGCAACTGTTGGAAAATAACAACAAAATAACATTTATGAGTTTGTTTTCTTCTCTTCCTTGTAGTATATTTGGGTGTAGGCATTCATGAATTTATTCAGATACTTTGTCTATCCCTACTTTCCATAGTAGTGAAGATCTATAACTGTAGAATCTTGATTTATTATATGGTCAGTGCAAAGATGCATTCACTGGATCCAGCACCAAATGAGGACAACCACCACAGCAGCTAGAGGAAGTGAAAGATTGATATGAGCTCAGGGTTGATAATTAATCGATTAAGAATCATAGAATCATATAATGATTGAGGTTGGAAAAAACCTCATCTAGTCCAACCAAGAATCAACAGTGCAAAACAATCTGGGAAAATAAACATTGCACTGGGCTGCATTTGCAAGAATATGTTATGAAACATGAACAAGATAATTACTTCCTTCTGCTTGACACCTCTTACTGCCTATAAAGCCAAATGCACAGCATGGGTAATGCTCGTGACTCAAACTCTGAAGGCAGAATTCAAGGAAAGCTCTGCAGATTTGAATTTTAAAACAATGAGGGATGTCCAGATGATATCTGCTTGAACACAGGAGGACTACAGCATTACTGAAACAGAAACCTTTCAGAAGTGGCTAAAAGACCATGATGGCCAATCCTGTCATGATGACAGGGCTAAAGTGAGACATTTGTTTCCAACCAAGAGCAAAGTAGAACATGACTTTCTCAGAGCTATCACTGGAAACATTAAGACCTATTTGGTACTGGAGGAAAGCTGTGTGGCTTCATCAGTGAACTGGTTATACCAGGCTACCTTGTTCTGCCAAATTAGAACAGAGTCATGGCTGCAAGGGCCCAACTATGATCACTTAGTCCTCATTAAGTCATGTTTTAAGTGAGATGTGTACAAGAAAAGCCCCATGTCAGGACCCTGTTGTTAGGGCAAATATCATTCATGGCCTTATCTAAGCAAACACAACTCTGCACAGGGGGAAGCCTAATTGCATGAAGTGCTTTTATTTCTCCAAACAACCATAGAGCTAACCCTTTCCTGTAGATAAGCATAATTTTTCCTCAGTGACTATCAAGGTGAGAGAGTACAAAAAATGAAATAATTTAGCAAATGCTAAATATTGGTCAATTGCAGTAAATTTCATTAATTGGTCTATACAGGCTTCATGTCAGAATCCTGTTTTCTTTTTGGTTGGGCTATGTGGTACAATTAGCAAAGCAGAATAATTCTCTGGTAGAAAGGCTGCCAGAGTATTATTACTGGGAGTGCCAGCGGGGAGTTTTTATTGGGTTCAGAGAGGTTCCATATGAAGTCAACTCTCAGTGTGCCAGATACTATACAAACACTTCAAATATTGGTATTGGTAATAGGTGAACGGTTGGACTGGTTGATCTTTTAGGTCTTTTCCAACCTTGGTGATTCTATGACATATGAACAGTTTTTCCCCAATTCTGTCTTTCTTGTGGCCAGAAAAAAATTATTTTTGCCTCCCATATTGTTGTTGTAAGTCCCTTGAATCACAGAATCATATAATTATTTGAATTGGAAGAGATTTTTAGAGACCATCTGATCCAAATTCCCTGCAATAGACAGGGACATCTACAGATACATCAGGTTTCTCAGAGCCCTGTCCAGCCTGACCTGTGTTAGGCCACACCTACATGCAGGGCAGTATTTTACTACTCAAGTTCAACAAGAAATACTGTTTCAAATGGACTGGGTAACACACAAGAGGGCAGGTGGCAGTCTCCCAATACTTCACAGAGAAAATTATTGGTATTAATGATTCATTTTTCTTGTGCCAGAAACTGGTCTCAGAGAACATTTATAATTTTTACATATTGCCTTTAGTATAAATGCTGGTGCTATTTATTAGTGTCAGTAAGAACTTAATTATGGCACTAAGTTTCAATTCCAAATACCCACATATTAATGCAAACAGGAATGAGCATTTAGATGTTTGTGACTTTTCCCTGAGTCATGTTTTAGCAACCAGTGACTCGCTTATCTCTGAGGAAAAAATATCTGGTAAGAGCAATGATGGTCAACACCAATTGTGTTCTAAAGAAGCCCATATGATGGCTTGCACAATTTTTTTTTTTTGTCTGGTTGTAGGAATTTTCCATGCTGGCATGAGAGCAGATCAACTGAATTACAAATCTTTTATCTGAGTAATTCTTCATATAAAGAATGTTTCTTCTAGTTAACTAGCACATGATGATTACCTGGCTCCTACCATTGATAATCTGAAAAATTGCCAAAATGCAATCCTGACTCCATTCTTTGCCAGGCCCACACCCCTCAGGATCACAAACTCAGCCAAGGCATGGTTGCTCAAGCTCAAGCTGCCTCCAGTCTTAATGCCTTTAACTATCCCCTCTGCATTTGTGAGCACCAGATCCAGTAACACTTCACCTGTGGTTGGTCAGTCTGTCCAATATCCAATCCAGAAAGTTATCATCAATGAACTCCAGGAGTCTCTTGGATGGCTTGCAGCTCACTGTGTTGTTTTCTCAGTAGATATCTGAGTGGTTGTAATTCTCCATCAGGACAAAAGCCTGTGAGAACAGCACTTCTTGCAGCTGAAGCAAGAAGAACTTGACAACAGGCTCCCCTTGGTCAGTTTGCCTGTAGTAGACCCTGACCACCAGCTGTCCTTTATTGGTCTCATCCCTAATCTTAACCTCCATGCTCTCAACCTGTTCCTGGCTGTTTCTCAGAGGGATCTCCTTGCAGTCCATCTAATTCTTGATTTGGAAGGCAACCCCTCAACTTTTCCTACCTTGCCTGTCCATTCTAAAAAGCTTATAGTCCACAATGATATCAATTGAAAAGCACTATTATTAACTGTCTTTGCTGCCTGGCTTGCAGGAGTGACTGATAAACAGCACGTTAACCATTCAAACATTCAATTTCTTTTGCATTTTTCTGCCAGGATCCAAAGTCATGCACAGATTTCTACAGAAATTCGTAATTCAGAGTACTTTACCAGCATGCCCCCGCTGCCAGCAGAATGCCTAGACATCGATGGGGACTGGAACACGCTTCCTGTTATTTTTGAAGATAGGTACATGGATTTGCCTTGCAAAGGTGAGTGAAACACCCTGAGAACAGCTTCATGAGACAGCTGGACTGGAGAAGTTGACTCTCCTAGCCCAAGGTATTTGATCTCACCTATCTTGAACTGGCTCTTCCTAGGATGAGAGCATAATCCTCTACAAAATAGAGCTGAAGTCATATTATTTTTTTTTTAATATTGGAGTTTAGATTATTTACTGTAACTTCACACTTTTTTTCATTTAACACAATGTTTAGTTGAAAGGGCTGGAAGCAAAATACAAAAAGAAAAAAAAATTGGATTTTTGTTACGGTAACAAACAGCGCAACAAATTTCATACCCAGAGTGACATCTAGTGTTAAGAAAAGTCAGAACTAAAAGCTGGATTACAATTTCTATGAAGACCAACACTGTTCCCAAAAGGCAATATTGCTTTTCTTAAAAATAATTTCCCCTGGAGTGCCTAGGTGATTTTTTATTAAGATTTTTCATTAAGAAAATATTTAGTTCTGCAACGCTGAAGTACAACCTTTTAGTCTTTGCTTCCATTTTCTTTTTAAGCAACTATTAAGATTAGCAGAGAGGTAATACATATTAATACCATAAGTGACCATGGTCCAGTAAATATGGCTTGTTATTCAGAATTTCCACTCTTCCAGAGCTATCAAATTACCTCAATTTTGACAGTCATAATTACTAATGTTTAAGCCATTAAACTGTGTAATAAGCTAATTCACAAGCAAGATCAACACTACATATAATGTGGTACAACAGTAGGAACATAAAGTGCCAGTTCTGGTTGGTTTATCTGTGCTAGAAACTAGCAGTTTAGATATTATCAATAAAATATAGTTCCCTCTGTACAATTCTGTATTTTTGGCCTAATTTTAACTTGTTTACTGATTATAATACCAGTTAAATGAACTCTGGCATTTGCATTTGTAATATATTTCTAATGTAAAGATAATTTATATAGTATAATTACACATACTTTTCTAGGCCTTATAATCACTGATGCAAGTCCCATATCATACTGGGGTAGTATACTGTGCTGAGTGGAAGTTGCAGATACAAATTCTTTTTTTTTTCTTTCTTTCAGACCAGAATTTGGATACTTTCCCAGATTTTGAGGCTCTTGCCAATACTCAAATTGATACAATACACGAGAAGGAAAATCTTGCATCAAATGATGACACTGTAGAAATGAAAGGAGACTTTGGGAAAGGTACTTTGCTAATACACACAGACAGGATAAACGGGAATCCTTGCTTGTATAGTGATTCCAAAGGTGCTGCTTTCGCAGCCAAGGATATAAACCAGCACTCCACATCTCAGGTATGTACAGCAAACAAAGAAGGCCAAAGGATACCTGAAAACATTTATGTTTCAAGTAAGGAAACTACTTCTGTCTCAGAGCTAAGCAATACAGAATGCATATCAGAGGAGTCTAAAACATGCAAGGAAGTTTTATTAAAAGACGATAGGCATTCAGTGGCTATTACCACTGAAGAGAAGAAATCTAGCAATAAGGGCGCCCATAAAAGTGAGCCCGTGTTGATTGTCAGTGCTCAGATTGAGTGCAGAGCGTGTGGAACTGATGGCTTGGAAGGCAGGACTGAAATACATAAAATGGCTGAATCTGGTCATCCTGAGAATAATTTCAGTTCTGAGCTTGCATTGAGTGAATTCATCAGGCTTGAAAGAACACCAGATGCAGATAGCAAGCCTCTGCAGCCTGTTTTGAAAGCTTTGCCCTCTCACAGCTTGGAGGTGAAGTTGTTCACGAAGGAGCAACGAACTGAGGAGTGTGAAGAATTTACCCTGATGTCAGGGGTCATAAAGAGATCCTCCTCTATTATATCAGATTCGGGCATCGAAAGTGAACCAAGTTCAGTGGCGTGGTCCGATGCTCGGAGCCGGGCTCTGGAACTGCCCAGTGATCGAGAGATCCTGCACCACTTGGTACGGAGACATGCCATACACCGGAATTCTCTGGAGGGTGGGCACACAGAAAGCAATACCAGCCTGCCCAGCGGGATACAAGCGTCTCTCACATCCATTAGTTCTTTGCCCTTTGAGGAAGAAGAGAGAGAAGTGGAGCTTACCAAACTGACTAAATCTGTCTCAGCTCCTCAGATCAGTAGCCCAGAGGAGCCTTTGGAGGAGGTGGACATATCTAAACGCATTGAAGCAACCTCACGAGACTCAGGAGGATATTTAAAAAGCTGCAGGGAAACAGAGAATGGAGATGGTCAACTAATGATGGATTTTTCTGTGTGTCAGCTCACCACTGAAAGTGGGCAACCAGAACCAAGAGGACCTCCCAAACTCTCTGCCAAAAACAGTAATGACAACCTAGAACTACAAAAGGAGGAGGCAAAGGAAGATTTCTCAGAGACTTACTGTAGTTTGGAATGTGCAAAACCACCTGCATGTAATCCTCTCAGAGATAATGACTCTGAATGTCAATCACTGGAGAACAATGATGAGTGCAGCTTAAAAACACCAAGGGCTAATAATTACTTGGACAAAAGTATAGGCAAGTTTGATAAGTACATTACAGATCCAAAGGATACATCTAAGCCGGACAGCTTAAAAATAGAACAAGACTTGTACATCAATGTGAGAAAAACAGGAGAGGACAGTTTCTCACAAAGCATAAAGCTGGTACCACATATTTGTAATCCTGTTTCAGGTCCTTCAGAGACTTCAACAGAATTTGGCTCAATGCAAGGAGAATGCAATAGCCTTCTTGCTGATGAGAGCCTGCTGGTGTATGCAGAAATGCAGGGCTTACAGGAAATTGAGCTCAACGACTCACCTGCCTCAGCAGATCCTGCTGCAGAATCCTGCCAGGACAAATATCCTCAGGAACTTGACAACCAAGGGCAGAAACTTGTAACTAATGGCACTGGGTTTCACTCGGTTACAATGGATGGGGTAGCACTGGAAAGCAGAAAGGCTGTTGATGTAGTTAACCTCTCTGTCTCTTGCACGGCCACATGTCTTCCCTTTTCTTCTGTGCTCAAAGAGACCCCTGCGATGGTTGGCTTCTCTGCAAAGCAGGCTGCATTTCCCATCACACGTCAGCCTCTGGGCTCTTTTGGAGTTGTTTCTTCCCATTCAAATGAGGTGGATGAAGAGGCCAATGAAAGGATGCTGAAGTAAGAATGTCTGATTAATTAATCAATGTTGCTGTCATGTCATGACACCTTGAAAAAGTTCAGGGCCCTAATATGGAAATGGGTTGTGGCGAGGGGAATATCAGCCTTTTCTATCAGGAAACAGCAATAGGACATGAGGTAATGGCCTCAATTTGTGCCGGGGATGTTCAGATCAGATATTGGGAAGAATTTCTTCTCAGAAAGAGTGGTGAGGTATTGGAACAGGTTGCCCAGGGAGATGGTAGAGTCACTTTCCCTGGACGTATTTAAAGAAAAGATTGATGTAATAGTTATGGACATGGTTTAGCGGGCAATATTGGTAGTACGTGACCAGTTGGACTAGAGATCTTAAAGGTCTTTTCCAACCTTAATGATTCTGTGATAATGAAAACTTGTATTCAGAGACAGTTGCTACCTGAGAAATTACAGTCTAACTAATCCAAATAGACATATGATTTACACATAATAAATAGTCTAAGCAGACAGGAGACACAGAAACACAGAGATACCCAAGATCTTCAGAGAATTTAGGTCCTTAAACATCATGGAAATGAGTGAGATTTGGGTGTGCATACAGTCTTTAAGATTTTGCCCATCATTATGAAGTCATGGTTACCCAGACATGAGTATTGATCCTATATAATTGTAGTGCCATAGCTTGTTTTTCTTTTCTGCTTAATTTTAACGATTAACTAAGCAATGAAAGGGGATCACAGCTGGGTTGTAGGGCATTAGCTTCAGTTTCTGAAACTAGAAAATGGGAGAATGGACATTCAGGGTACCTGGAGAACAGACTCTTTTTCCCCCCTGCTCTCTCTTAGCCTATTCTCTACATCCTGATTTCTCCCAGTCAGAATAGAACCTTGTCATTTCTGGTTTGAGAGTTGGCTGTTGAATACCCAGTTCTACTGTGATTAATTAATGTATTCTCCAGTTTTTATCAGGCCAAAGAAAAATTTAAAAAAGAAATGAAGATTGAAGGATTTCTGTACAGTGACTTATCTGTACTAGCTTCTGATATCCCATATTTTCCACCAGAGGAAGAGGAAGAAAATTTGGAAGATGGAATTCACCTGGTTGTCTGTGTCCATGGATTGGATGGTAAGACCTGCTGTGTGCAAGAGTCATTCTAGTGTAAGCAACAGTGAAAAATGCAGATCTACAGGAAGTGTGAAAGAACAGAGTCTAACGAAAACATTTATCATAGAGTTTAGCTTTTACGTTATTATAATAAAGAAATTCTAGGAGAATATTAAGTATTTAACAAATGAGTACTGCAGCATATTTTTGTCTGTTTAGGCAGAATTCTGCACCAAATTATGTCAGTCCTTCAGTGTACAGTATATTACAGGAACTCTTCATGTCTTTTTGGAGATATCTGGTTGTTTAGCCAGTTGTTTATCTGGTTGTTTATGCCACCAGGATGAAAACATTATTTAACAAAGTATACCAATGTTGTAGGAAAGATTTTTGCTGGCTTTAGAATGTTGAAGAATAATCCATATTCACTGCAGTGGAAGGCTGACCTGGAATATTTTGAATGGATAATTTTTAAGCTGAAAATGGATATGTTAAAGTTGATACTTTTCTTAAAGTCATTGGTTTCAGTGGGCTAGGTGAAGGTGTTAATTTTGAGACTACAAAGAAGGAGGGACCGAGCCTCAGAAGTGTGAAATTCTTCCTGTCTTATTCAGGCATTGTTTGCCATTTAATATCCCAATGGCCGTAATGTGTTTCTCATAAAAGTCCATACTTTTCCAGCAAAATAGCAGAATACCCCTAGTCTAGTATGAAATTGGAGCATTTTGGTCATCTTCCAAAATGTTATAAGACCGCATTTCAGAACCAGGTCTAATTGCAAATATAGAGAGGCAGGCTATTCTGCATGTGATTGTCCATCCTTATACCCAAACCACAGGTGCAAATGACCCCTGAAGGTCTATGGTGCACCTGGTATTATCACTTGGTGCAAACTGGAAGGGACAGATATCTGCCTTTTCATGACCCCTTGTCTTATCTACCCGGTCAGAAATTAGGGTACTAAGTTATTCTGAGCTCAGTCTTTGCCCTGTCCTCCATACTGTGCAGCTCATTACATGGGCATTACATGCCCAAAAGCAGAAGGTGAGGTCCAGCCTTCCTTGCATAGATGTCAACATTCTTTCTCTCCCATTGTTTCAATGCATGATCCTATGGTGTGGTAAGCTGTCATGGCAGCACTTAGCACGAGCTTCCTGGTGCAAAGGTGTATTAGAAGACAAACATCTTGAATCAAGTCTCAATTATTTTTTTTCTGTCCAATTACATCTTATAAAGTGTCATTCATTTCTAGGTAACAGTGCAGATCTACGGCTGGTAAAGACTTTTATAGAACTGGGACTCCCTAGTGGAAAACTGGACTTCCTAATGTCTGAAAGAAATCAGGTAGTACAGAGCTAAATTTTGTCTTCCATTAGATCTCCTACAAGCTGTTGGTGTTGCTTCAGGAAGGCTTTCACAAGCTGGATTAAGCAGTAGAACTGGGGAATTCAATGAGTTTTAGTAGGATTGAGCTCAAATACCTGTTCTTGTGGAAAATGGTTAGATTGAACCCATTCGGAAATATCTAGAGCATTGAGGTAAAAAGCAATTAGGCTATTACTTAAAAGACTAGAACTTACACAAAGAAAATTGATTTGTCTTGTGAGTTTGAAACCTTTCAACCTCTGCCTGTTGGATGCTGAGTGACACAACACCAACAGAAAGCAGCATGTTTAATGATGGTAAATTCTCTGGAGGATGTAAAATATATCCAGAAGGTGTTGTCCGCTTCTTTTGGTGCATCAACCATTATTTCACCTGTTAGAATTTTTGTGAGATTTATATTCTTAAATGATAAAGAAATGTCTTTCAGGAAAACTCACTGCCAGTCCAAGCAGAGCAACAAAAATGAATTCAACACTCTGCTTTGCAGTGAACTCATATTTATGAAACAGAGGCCTACACTTATTCATAAGATAAGGATTTCCAGTGCTGAATCAGAAACATTATTATGATTTAAGATCAGTTCATAATCTTGAGTCAAAAATTTCCACCCTTTACTCAATAGCTTTTATACTTGCAAGTGAGTAGTTGGTGTTGGTCTATGAATTTGCCACCTTCAATGAACATCTCACTAGCTCTTACAGAACCTCTACTTACCATTATCCTGAGGTCATAATTGGAACTTTCAATCCTATAGTGTGGAAAGATGAGAAAGTTCCTATAGCACTGGAAATAGAATGGGTTTTGGCTTTTTTTTTTTTTTTTTTTTTTTAAATTTAAATTATAATTGATTCTTTAAAGTATCCAGTCACCTTTTTTCCCTTCTCTGGGAACCATTCTGAAAATGATCCACAAAATCAAATGTTTAGCTGAATTTTCCTTAAGAGAGGAGAAGGCAAGCCACCTTTTTTAGGCAGTCCTCTAATTGACAAGCTCAGTCAGGCTGAGATACTGAAGATACTGAAGGATAGATATATAACCTGGTGAAATATGACTTTTGATGTGTTTTAGTTGTGATTAATGTCCAAGCTGGTATTTTTCCACTTTTAAACAACCTGAAAGATTTGGGATGATGAGACTGAGAAGAAATCATTAATTAACAATGCAGACTAAACAAACAGGCAGGAGTTTAGTGGACTGTTTGTAGTTTATGTAAACTTTTATTTTAATGCAGTATTGCAAAGTGAGTATGCTCATGTTTTCTATTGCCAGAGCTGCAATTAGCAAGATGAGTTGTGTCACAAAAGCATTAATTACTAGATATGTTTGCTCTGAATAGCTGTTCCAATATTTGATGATTGTTTCTGTGGCAACTTGTTAGTTGTTTGATTTAGAGTCCTGTTGATTTGCCAGATGACACAGTTCTGAATAAGATTTGCCTGTAAATGTGTAGATCAAACAATATACTGTTGTTTTTTTTTGTTTTGTTTTGTTTTGTTTTGTATCACAATTGCCATTATTGTCGGCATCAACAAATTGTCTCTCTCTCTGGCACTCATTCTCTTACTGATATTGTTGAATAACAAACACACAACATTCACACAACATTTATTAAATGACATAATAATATTGTGATCACATCCTTATCACCCACATCAGCCATGTATGTGTAACGCATGTAGATTGCTCTGAAAGTAATGCTTCCTATTTATTTTCATGGAAACTATAACAGATACAAAGAACATGATTACACTATTTGATAGACCAAATTCTCAGGTACAAAACAGTATTTTTCTTTATAATCACCAGCATAGCTATGCATTTTCACCAGCGATGAACAGAAGCCTGCATACTGTGCCTACAAAAATGTGCAAAAGCAGAGGTGACCTGCTGTCACCACTTCTGAAACATAGCACCCACCGACTCACTGTGTTCACATCCACTGTTTATTCTCCATAAACAATCAGTAAGCATCCATGAATATCAGTGGGTGCCATTTTTTCCACATGAAGGAAATCAGTGCTTCATAGACACTGACTTCCACGTCAGGCCCCATTTTATCAGACTGCCTCTCTGCTGCCATTTGTCACAGCAATAAAATGTAGCAGAACATTGGCTGGAAGGTTCAACCTCTACTACCGTATCACCAACATCTGCATCTGATATTGTGGGTCAACATAATAAGATAGGAAGCATTAATTTCAGAACCAAACTTCTATATTATGTAAATTATTTTATCATAGTAATCTGTTCAATTCTAAATATCAAAAGCTTTTATTTTGTTGTGTAGAATATGGCTCAGAGGCTGAGCATTAGCAATTCTCACCACTATTAAGTGAGGCCACTTCAAGCCTTAATTATGAATCAGAAATCACAGAATCACATAATTGTACGGTTTGGAAGGGACCTCTAGAGATCATCGAGTCCAAGCCTCCTGCAAAGCAGGTCCCCTACAACAGGCTGCACAGGTAGACATTCAGGCGGGTTATGAATATTTCCAGAGAAGGAGAAATCACTCAGCCTGATATTGTTAGACTTACTATTAATAAATTATAGGCCCAGGTTAATATTATCATGCCTAAGGTAGAGGCAATGTCATTGGAGAAAACAGAAGCAACCACAGTGATTTTAACCCCTTAAAATACTGTCTTCTACAGTGTCAGGAAAAGTACAGGAAGTGTAGGATTGATCTTGTTCGAAATTTGATACTCATGTTATGTGTCTGAAGCTAGGAACACAATATAGGGTCAATTAAACTCTGACAAAAGATTTTGCCTTACCTCACTTGAGAGCTCAGTGAAGACAGTGAATTTCCACATGGACTGCACAAACAGCCATGTGATCGATAGTAACCAGTTGTTCCTGATGATGTGAGAAATACTTGAGTAAGTTTGCAATGTTGCCTAGAGTATTTTTGTAATAAACTGAAAGTGAAATTTCACGATTGTTTTCAAAGAGCTTAAATTTTTAGAAGGTCAGGAGAATGAGAAAAATTCTGACCCCACTGAGCATTCATATAGAAAATTTAGAATAGTTATTACTTTTGTGCTTATGATTTATTTTGAAAATGACAATAGCCTGGGATATATGTACACTGCAATAGTTTTTGATTCACTTTCTCCAACCTTTTTTCACCAGACTGATACTTTTGCTGATTTTGATACAATGACCGACCGATTGTTGGATGAAATTATTCAGCATATTCAGTTGTATAACCTCTCCATATCCCGGATAAGGTAAGCATTCTTACTGAATTGTCTGTAGCTATCTGTGGCTGTGAGCATCGTTCAGTGAAATCAGCTTTTCCAAAACTGTCCTATGTCTAAAGCCATTGAGGTCAGTGAGCTGAATTTTTACATTGTAATAGATGGTAGAGAGTAGTGAGGCTGAACAAAATATAAAATGACAGCTAAATGGTGGTACTAAACGCCCAGATAGAGGCCAATTGAGAGCAATTTATGTTTCCCTTATACTTAATTTAAATATCATATGTATGTTTTTTTGTATTTATATTATTCTGTCTTTCCCAACAGTTTTATTGGGCATTCCCTTGGTAATGTCATCATCCGATCTGTACTAACTCGCCCCAGGTTTCGCTATTACCTCAACAAGTTGCATACCTTCCTGTCCCTCTCTGGGCCTCACCTTGGAACCCTTTACAACAACAGTACTTTGGTTAGTACAGGTAAGAGTTAATGGGAGGGCACCTACTGCATGTCTAAGACTGCTTCTTGGAAAATCCATAGGTGTTAAGCAACGAAAGAAGAACTTGCTTCCTCTATGTTCTTCCACTTCTCTTTATACTGACAGTAAACAGAGGCATTTCCAAAGCTGAAGAAAACATAGTAGTGCGAGAGCTGAATGTCTCAGTGTTTAGCCTTCCTGGATGTTTAAGTTGCCACAACACTGAACAGTCCAAATGAGAAACCTAGACTTTTCTCCTTGTTTATTAGCAATTCAAGAGGAAACAAAGACATAAAATAAGTAGTTAAAGTGCTAACCTTACTGAATTCACTTTGAGTTTATTATTAAAGGCACATATCTTTAATCCCTTTTGTTGATAATTAGCAAAAAGGTAAAAATATAGTCAAATTTCCATTGCAGGTCTATGGCTCATGCAGAAATTGAAAAAATCAGGGTCACTTTTGCAGTTGACCTTCAGGGACAATGCAGATCTGCGCAAGTGTTTCCTTTACCAGCTCAGCCAAAAAACAGGTGAGTGAGGCTTAATGTAATTGTGCAGATGTTGGGAGTTATTCCAAAGGATTCTGCTAGATTGCCGTCTCCTACAAGGATTAAAAAATATGTATGCTATTACTGATCTTTCTTTAAATGTTCTGGCTTTTGAGAAGGACAACTCTTTCTAATATTAATATCTGTTTTATTTGTGCCTTTTTTTCTGCACAGTTTTAAATGAATATAGTTGCCAAACAGTTAGTGCCCAATTAAAGCCTCCATGATGAAGCAAGCCTGCACCTAATTTCATATTCTTCAAGCAAGAAATAACAGGCCACAATCATTTAATTCATTTTAATAGATGCAAATCATTTTTTCTTCTTTTTTATTATTTTTAAAATTTAATATCTCTTATCTCTAAGAAATAGATGCTGTGAGATGAAGAGCAAATTTTATCCATATTTGCAAGGTGAAGATTCTAATCAATCACTGTTTGAAACCAAGACAGTTCTTGCTTTTTTTGTTTGTTTGTTTGTTTTTGTTTTTGCTTTTGTTTTTTGTTTTGTTTTTTGTTTTGTTTTGTTTTGTTTTGTTTAATTGTTGATATATAATTAACCTATATGCACACTGGTAAGTATTAAATAGCTCACAAAAGGCGGATAAATAGTTTTAAAGCTATTCTTATGAATTTTAGTTTGTGCTTTGTGTTTTAATTGTTCTTTAACTATTTTGCACTATATTTCTATTATAAATGTATTTAATGCATTTGTTTATTACAGGTCTTCAGTACTTCAAAAATGTTGTATTAGTGGCCTCACCCCAAGACAGATATGTACCCTTTCATTCAGCAAGAATAGAAATGTGCAAAAATGCACTCAAAGACAGGCATACAGGTATGTTTCTGTATTTGCAAAGCTGTTGAGAAGGAATGTTTTTGTGTAACTGAGTTTGTTGCATCACAAGAGTATTTCATCAGATGCACATTTCATAAGGAAGAAAGTATTGTTTTCTCACAGGAAATGACTAAAATCAAGAAAAGCTTTTAAAGGCGTTATTTATTTGATGAATATAAATTGCAATTAGGTTGTGATTAAAGATTTCTTATTGATTCTTTCCCTTGCCCTCCTAATTATTTTTTTTAAACTGATGAAAATATAACTAGTTATTAACAATGCTCCTCCTTAGTTTACTGAATTATTAGTATTGTCTCATACAGTGAAATCTCTCTCAGCACATCCAAAGTTAATGAGCTTTCACTTTGTTTTCAGTAGTGTTTGGATGATTGTCATGTAATTTGAGAGATCTAAAATCGTATTGGTTTGGAATAAAATCATGTAAAGCACATCAGGATTCAATCCATCAGATGCCTAGCTCTCCTGTGAGCACAGCTGTGCACTGTTCCTAGTATTGCCTTTGTTACTTACAGATTCCCTCTTTTATAGAATATTCCATTGTTTCAGTCTGATACTAATTCCAGAAATAAAGTTCAATATAACTTTTTGCATGTTTCACATGTATGATTACCTAGAAATTGCAGTACTTCTTGGAAAGTAGAGACACCCAAACCCAAAAGTCAACATGGTTGCCTTCATACAGTTCTTTCTTTTTTACCCCAGATATGTACCAGGGGCATCTTTGATCTAGTATATACCAGACCTACATTCAATGTATGTTCATGAGTAGAAGTTTCCTGATCTGTTGTTGTTCCCCTATAAACTCCTGAGCTGTCTGCAGAATGATGGTCCTCTTGCATCACATTCCCCAGAGAAACCTGAATAGGCCTCTATGTCTAAACCTAATAGGCCTCTATGTAATAAGTCTATGCCAGACCCTTTTGCGTCCAGCTTCACAGACAGAATTAGTCCAACTCTCTTCCCCAGAGGAAACGGGAATATCTTCTTCCATCTCAGGAGAAATAGGACTAAGTGCTGAGATGTGCCCCACTCTGTGCTAGGGGCTTCATTAGATTTCCCTGGATAGACAATGAAGAACGACATTTGTAACATCCTGTTACTTGGCAAATCTTTGTAATAAAGTGTTTCTACTGCATTTTGTCCCCATTTCCATTTTCCACTGAGACTGTCCTTGTATAACTTGGAAAGAAAGAGGAGATCTGACATCTTTGGCATGTAACATCTAAAATCTTTTGCAGGTCCCATTTACGCAGAAATGATTAACAATCTACTTCAGCCTTTAATTGGGGCAAAGGACTGCACTTTGATCAGGCACAACGTGTTCCATGCTCTACCAAACACCGCCAACACATTGATAGGCCGAGCTGCCCACATTGCTGTGCTGGACTCTGAACTTTTCTTGGAGAAATTTTTCCTTGTGGCGGGACTCAACTACTTCAAATAGTGCCTGAACTGTGGAATAACTGAAGCAAACCATTTCACTGAATGGAGGAGAATTCCTTAGCCAAAAGCTTTTAGTATTAGAAAGGAGATCAGTTGGGACTTTCAGACTCTCCATTTCCATTTCTGTTTCCAGAAAATAAAGTGCTATGGCTTTAAGGCATTCAGGCTTCCAAATATTGGTGCTTTTGGAAGAAACAAATATTCCTTTTCAGTTTTTATGTCGTTTGTCTACATGAAGACATGAGTGAATTCCGAATGAGAGAATCAGAATATAGATGGTTAATTATCTAAATAAGGTGTGACCAACGTGTTTGCAATTTCTCTCAAATACTAACACAGGAACTTAGCTGTTCTTGATTTAATGCTTATTTATGTATTAACAAACACATCTGTAGCACTTTGGGATGATTAACACAAGAGGAAAGAAACGTATATGAACTCAGGTTAAAACCTCCTTTATGATGAACTGAAAAGTCAACATTCATGAAAATTTCAATGTTTCCATTTGTCAAAAGAAAATGATTTCAATATTCGTAATGATTTGTAACATGCACATATTCATATCATGGAAAGGGGGAAATATTTAACATAGAATGAAAAAAAATCTTGATATTTGTCTTTTTTAAGAAACCCTTAAATTAGTTAAACTTTTGTTCAAATTAGAAGCTGCCAGACTGGTAAGAGACTATTGGATTACTTGTGAAATAACAGTGGCATCTGTTAAGACTTCCTCTGTTTACATTTATAAGATACCATTATTGTGCTCGTCATTATAACCTTAGAGTTATTTTTTTTACTTTTACATTTGTATCCAAATACATTTACCCCAAGATAATTGTTTCTATATATCATTCCGACCCTGAAATTCGAAATTTGACCAGTAATACCCCTGTAAAAATAATCCAATGGAAATGGATCGGTGACCAAGAGCAGAAGGATTATGGAAAGCTCAAAAATATAAGGCTTCCTCTGCAATGCTCTAAGAAGGTTTTACTAATGGCCATCTGCAGTGCCATGTGCAGTCCTAATTATTGTATGGTTACAGCTTGTTAAAACATTTAGAGTTTATTAATACAATGATATCAGAGTTCTTTTTAAGAGTATCAGAAATAACCCATTTTTCACTTTTCTATTTTGCATTTTTTTAATTAAAAGTTACCAGCATTTTAAATAACAAATTTCAATAAATTTCTATAAGTTTTCATACCATTTTAATAAATTTTCAAAGTCACAGCAGTTTTTTCAAAAAAAAAAAAAAACAAAAAACAAAAAACAACAGAAAATGAATAATTCTTCACTAATATTTTTGTTTGGAAGGATGACCATTTTTTTTTACTGAAAGTGTAATTTGTTTAGAAACATAACTGACCAACCTTGTATAGTGAAGGAAACGAACATAAAAAGTGACAAAGTTGGTTCCAGATGTCAAGACTATCAACAGAGATCTAAGATAAAGTTGTGTAGATTTCTGAAATAGGAGGAACCCCCAGGGAAATATTTGTACACACACAGGATAAAACTTGCTGCATTCTGAAAAAGTGGGAAAATTACATAAAATTAGTTCGAGAAAAGAGTTGCTAGCAAATTGAAGTGAAGATGATCTAGTAGTTTGGGCATGTCTTGAAATAGAAAGGAATAAGTAGGAATATACAAAAAGCTAAGACTAAGGTCATGTAAAATCAGGTAGGTATATTTCACTTAAAAATCATCTTCCGCCCTTCAAAAGTGACACTGAAATTAAATAGAAAGAATTACATGGTGCATTTCAATAGTGACAAGTTTTGTAAACACTAAATATTGCTGTAATATTTGAATAGGTGGATACTATTGTTGTTTTTTTTTCTTTGTTTGTTTTCCTTTTTAAAATTAACATTTTAAAGCTAGAAGCTGAATTTACTTGGTTAAAAATAAATTCTATGTCAGGAATCAAGAACTTCTGGTACCCACATGTTGTTTTTGGAAGTCTTCATGGCTTTTCAGCCTCACAATTTTAGTTCCAGCTAAACCTATTTGTCAGCATCCTTCTTCCTTGGTAAACTATTTACACAGTGTCAAACATACTGAGACTTTTAGGTTAAGCTTCTACACAATGCAGTGGTTTTGATCTGAAGCCACTGACTTCCATGACTCCATGTCCATTGTGAAACACAAGGAAGAAAAACAGTCCCCAAATATCAGCAGTCTTCAGTGAATTCCGTAGTGATCTGTTCCTCTTTTAGAAAATTTTCACAAGTCTACACATGGAAAATTTTTGAAGTTACTGAAAGGCCACCTTACACATATATACATACTTAATGCATGCATGTGTGTACGCAGCGTATACAAAGAAGTACAACAAAAAAATTGTGCTTATTTCAAGGTCTCATAATGCCATTTTTTTAAATCCTGAGTATACTGAATATGACAGCATACCAATATCGTGCTTCTTAAACTCAGATTGATGATTTCCTGCCCTGCACATCAAACAACATTCTTAACCTTTTGTTCACATGTCTGTGAGGTCTCCTTTGTATTACTGCAGAAACTGGTGGCTCTTTCAATACTCTACACTGCTATCAGTACTGAGATTGATGGATGAACATACCTAAAGGTTTCTGTGTTCCTATACATACAGTATTCTTCCATGGCCTGGTGTCTGATTTCAGTGGAGTTTGATTAGGTTCATGCAACTTGCTCCTTAGAGGATGTGATAGAAAGCTTCTATAGAGCCTCCAAAAAAATTTATGAGACATCATTCCAGAAAAATGATGTAACACAGATTTTATCTTTCTTCTGCTGCAAGAACATTATGGGAAATATTAGCAATAACAGTCTACCTTATCTTTCATTTTGAGGTTCTTGTAATAGTCTCCCTCTCTTTTTTTCTTCTCTTCTTTTTTTTAATAGGATATTGCCTTGATAATAACACAGGATATTTTAAATCATCTCTAACAGTATAAAACATCTAACTGGTTGGACTTTGTCACAACACAGCAATCAACATTGATTCATTTTTAGAAGGTTTTTTATGTTGATTTATATAGAGAGAAATATATATTAAGAATTAACTTTGTAGCAAATATCAGCTGTACGGTGAGCATCTATTGTGTTAATACTTGGAATTTGAATGTATTGTCCTTTCATATAAATCTTCATTATATAAATTTAATTTCATTAGCAGTATTGATAAGGCTTTCCCTTCTAACTGCAAACATTTGCTTTGATATATCTGTGAAGGCTGTGCTTATTTCTTAAGCAAAGTCTTACATTCACAATGGAGAAGGCGGTTTTTCAAGGAGTCAGACAGAGTTGGGGACATTACTGTATTTGAAATGAATTTTATCTCTGTGGGATTCTTTTCTAAAGAAGGAAAAAAAAATGAACAACAAATACCAATTTAATGTTTCTTCCAGGCTCCAATGAGTAAAATATGTTTGTCTAGTGAGGTTTGACAAACAGTCCAAATGAATAAATTCTCTCAAGGAAAGATAATAGATCACAAGATGGGAAAAGGACAACAAAGAGTCAGGATCCCAGGACCTTGAAAGACAATATTAAAAGCTAAAGGGAAGGAAGACAGGAAAGTGCACTTAATGTAAGACTTTTTTGGGGCCTAGATTGTACGTGAAAACTGGACTGAATCACGCTTGTAATTACTAGCTATTTTATTCTTTGAGGTGCAAATTTTCACTGGTACAGCTGGATAACAAGAAAAACACTAGAGACAAATCATGATCATTTAAAATTTGGCTTGAAATGAGTCTTTTCTCAGCCTCCAATGATGCCCATTTCTCTTTAACAAAACTGTTCACTTGTTTTCAAAATCATGTCTTTCCACTGACTGTAGTGGAAGCTGAAATGGATTGGGTTTAAAAGGATGTATCCTTAAGGTTTGAAACCTTAGCACAGAGCTTTGGAAATCACTAGTAGGAATACTGAGCTTTTACTTCAAAGTGCTTCATAAATATTCACTGACCAATCCTCTTTACTATTCCCTTGCTTAAGATAGGCCAAGCTTGAAAGAGAAAGCTATTACATGGTTATGTGAAAGCTAGGAATTCAGGCCAAAGCTTTCATTAGGACTTGTATGTTTTTCTGGTGCTTTCTGCATGGTAAGAGAAGATCACTTCCTTTCTACTGCTGCATTTGAAGTAGCTAATTGGTGATACAGGAGAAAAGTGAGAACTTCTTGTAATAGTGGTTAGAACCTTTTGAAGGTTTATGCAAGTTTCTCATTATATAATGATTAGTCACGGTGCACTTCTGCAGTAGTCACCTATCTGAATGACTGTTTTCTTTATGGACTTAAATTTCCATTTGAAAATTATCATCAGGACAGACCATCATATTTCATTCCAGCTGGTCATTTGGATGCTAAATGTCATGCCTGTATAGAATTATCTTGAGAGTGTTTTAATTCAGTACATATGCACAACAGTTTTGATTTTGAATGTTATTAAGTAATTGCCAATTCCTGGTCAATCTTTAATATTTATTTACCCCTTCCCTTTGAAACAAATGTGACCACAGCAAGACCTTATGATTCCCCTAATTTGCTATCTCTTGAGTGAACTAAATTGCCTTAGGCAATTCTGCTTTGCCCAGTCATTCCAAAGTTTACACAGTTGCTTTTCCATTAACTGATTTCATCTCCTGCTTTTCTTTCTGGCTAAAGCTTCCATGAATGCCTTTTTTTTTCCATCCTTCAATCCTTACCTTCAAAAAAATCTACAAAACTATCTCATTACCTGAACACCTTTGATAGTCTCAAGAATAACCCTGGTGACTGCACCAACAAGTGTATCATATTGTCACCTTTTGTAGGCCTCTCTTTCAGCATCTAATACATCCAGGCCTACTTTGCGCTTCTGCGTTCCCAGTATGATGCTAATTCGTGTTTTTACATGTTTTATTTAATGTGATCTTAGTCACAGTTAATGTTTAGGGAAAGTCTGTGATGCATAGACGCCTAATGCGAGTTGTCTCCACCTTGACATTAGAGACAGCTCTGTTTTCTCACCTTGTGACCATCAGACCTATGACATGCTGCTTCCCAACAGGTTGTGTGATCTGAAAAACATCTGCTGTTTCCTCTTTGTTTTAGTAAGACAGTATAATACAGGAAAGTCGTGCACAGGGTAGAAATGGTTATAAAAACAATTTCATCACTCTGGAACCATTTTAAATGCAGATGAGCTAGGCTTTCTCTGTATAGGATAAGAGCATAAAGAATAAATATGTACAAGCTCTGCTTATGCAAAAGTTCAGGCTGAATTAACTTCTATTATAACCTTGAAACTTGATTTATGTGCTTTTGTGAATTCAACTCTCTACTTCCACACAAAGCACTGGAAGATCCTATTATCTGTGCAGGAAACTAATCGCATCTGTGCAAAACTGATTCCCACATCTACATGTGCCAGAAATCCATTAGGTATATGCATGAAGTTACACATCTTCAAGCAACCTCTTCATTGGAAAAGTAAGAAACTGCGTGATAGTAAACAGGACTGCTCTTATTCGGTCTGGCAAGTGGTTCAGACTTGGAGAGCTATCAACTGCAAACAAATGGCTCATCCAAAGGAACAACAACAAAAAACCTCCGTGAAGGCTAGCTGAAGACTAGGTTTTTTTTTTGTTTTTTTTTTTTTTTTTTCTTTTTTTTTAGTCAGAGTTGGTACTTCAAATACTGTGAGGGCCTCATTTATTCTACTTTTCCCATACAATGATTAAGTAGAAAAGTCAAGAGCCCCAGTATTTCAGTTTTCGTGATGGTTTTTAGCAACTAATTTAAGAACATTTTAATTCCTTCCTGGATGCTAAAATACTAGTAAGAATCTACTTTTCCCAATTCTGGAGAAATGCTCCCATACATATGTGGATGTCTACCTGCGTTATTCATCATGGTGGAAAGATATCAAGTTATTTTTCATAGAGTATTATAGATGCAGCTGTATGTGCTGCATATCTTTTTGATCTAAGATGTCAATAACACATAGTTTAGTTCTTGTATTCCCTACATATCATTTCAGTGATATGCCTAACACACCTATGTATATAGAAAGTGTCTCTTCCATGATGTATGTTATATTCTTACATGTAATTAATGTATACTGCCGTATGTAGTGTATGTATAGCAAACTGTACTTTGAAGCTGGTTGTGACTACAGAGTCTAATAGGTTTTTGTTCCTTTTGGGGGAACATTTTTGTTATCTTCCAGAGCTCCTGTAAAGGAGAATTTTGCTGGTTTCCTCACCTTACCGGGAGGGAGATTGGTTTGCACAGAGGTTGCCTCTTGGCAAACCATTCATTGACTAATTTTATCTAAGCAGCTTTGAATTTGCTGTGTGTTATTTACCAATTCTGTGGCTTCCATGGTCAGTGTAACATGTCAAACCCAACTGCACTGTCTTTAGAGACAGGAAGGTTGCCACCAT